AACACGCGCGCGGCGTAAGTACACGAAAACGCGACTCGATGCGAGCTTAACGTCACACGTCGATCACGACGGACAAAACAGGCAGGTTCACACGCGACTTTTACTATGTCACTCGATGTAACAACGAGTACGTATCGCGGCGACTATTAACAAAACGCGACAAAAAAAAACGTACTTCGATAATAGGTATTGTATACCGAATGTGGCCGCTGATCACAGCTAGGGCTCACGGACACCTCGTGTTCACACGAGGTTTTCGCGACACACACGGGAACGACAGCGCGGACGTTGCGCTTCGTTCAGCCGTTGGACAAAAAAAGAAAGAAGAAGAAAAAGGTAGAGACATAAAATTCGTGACGGCCGATGACCAGCTCACCAGCCGCTGGCGGCGGCGCGGGACTACGGAGGGGGAAACGCGTCGCGCGGAGCTCCGACATTTGTCGCGACTTGGAACGTCCATGACTTTGGTGGCGAACTCGTTCCGCGTTCGAACATAAGTAGTACTCATACCTATGATTTATTTGGTGACGAGGTGACCTATTGACCGTGGTATTAGATATATCATTATAAGATAACTATAATAAATATCACTGTACAATGAATTGTAATTGTTTCAACAATGAAATAAATAAACAAATAAAAACACACTGTACCATCAGGCTCCTACAAAGGCGGTTGGCCTCAAATGGTAAAGCGTATGCCCTTACAATTACCCAGAGACAGTAAAATATTTATATTTATGTATGTGCGGGTGACCAATAATAATAATAATGAAAATACAATTAATGAATGGCCGGTGTTGGGCCTACAACACTTTAATAATAATAATAAAGAAAAATTATTAAACAGAATAGAAAAACTGGGCGCCCTCGTCTATCATAAATACACAAATGCAAATTAATAAAATAATACGAAATAAAAGAAAAATAGAACAAATATATACATATGTAGTAATCCATTCACATAAAAGTTGATAAAAAGGTAAACATCACCAACTGCAGGAGAGCCAACTGCACAGCATGGACCGGCGGCACACAATTTCGGTTACACTGGGACCGACTAGCGGCAAACACGCACGACGGCGACAGGGCCGACCAACAGCAAACACGCACGACGGCGACGGACCGACCGGCGGCAACGCACACACGACGGTGTAAAAACAACGCACCGCACAACGCGCACACACGACGCAGAGCGACAAAACGATATTATCGTCCACAGCGGACACTCACGCGTCGGCGAAAAACTCGGTCACGCAACGATACGTACCGTGTGAAAGTGCAAGTACGACAAAAAACGCGACAGGTCCGGTATGGCACGACGGTCGAAATTGCAATAACGCAGGGTAGAGCGGGGAGGGTGATACAAACAATAGAATTTTCTAGAAGAACAAAAATAGTTTGTTATCTTTCCCCCTTGGAAGACGCAGGGCGGCTTTCAACATGACTGAATGGAGAGGTGTCGAAGGTGATTGCGAAGAGTATGACTGAAGTAGTGGTCACCTAAATTTTCACAAATGATAACGAAATAGTGATAAAAAAAAAAAAAAAAAAAAAAAATAGAATAAAGTGACTGATTACACATAAAATAAAATTATAAATTATAAAGTTACAGTAGCAATAAACAATTTACATGGGTAATAATCACTAATTAATACAATTTTTTTTTTTTACAATAAATAATATATTAAAATTTACATAACTAAGTATAATTCATTTGGTCACCCGAATGAATAAGGATAAGGCGCACAAGTTTACAATTCAATACATAATAATACATCAAATAAATAACAAATATAGCTATAATAAACAGCAAACAGAGTGATACTTGGTACGCCCTGTATCACTTATAAGTATGAGAAAGAAAACCTATAGTACATATTCCGATACGAGCAACTTAGGACGTAAAAAACTGTCGTTAACGAATAAGTAGAGTGTGATCCATTGCGTGGTAGGAGTTAACTGATTATTGGTTTAGGAACTAGGCAATTTCACGACCTTTACAACGGGACGCGTAAAAGTTCCCGTGTCGGTACGTACTCGAATCACTCGCACTACTCCATCCGCCCCAGGAAACACCTCTTGGACTCGCGCCATACGCCATTGTAACGGAGGAACGTTGGGTTCTTTAATAATAACCATATCATTAACCGCAATGTTGGGCACATCGGTCGTCCAACGATTCCGCATTTGGAGAGTATTTAAATATTCATTGCGTCAGCGGCGCCAGAAATACTGTGCGCATTGGTTTATCAGTTTCCAGCGTTGAGCTAAAGGGATCGTCGTATCAGCTATATACACTTCAGGAAGCGAAAGTAACGGGCGGCCTATCAAAAAATGCCCGGGGGTGAGACAGTCATATTCTGCCGGGTCAGAAGAGAGCGGAAATAAAGGGCGAGAGTTTAAGATGGCCTCTATACGGCACAACATTGTGTTCAATTCTTCAACGGAGAAGGTATGTTCACCCATAATACGTGTCATTAAACGTTTTGCTGAACGCACAGCCGCCTCCCATAACCCTCCGAAATGGGGCGTACCGGGTTGATTAAAATGCCAAGTGCATTGGAAACGAGAGATAAAATGGTCCTTACAACCGGAATCATTGACAAGCTCGCGTATCTGATTAGATGCCCCGACAAAATTTGTGCCGCAATCGGTATAAATGTCCTTGGGAAGTCCTCAACGCTCGACAAACCGTTGTAACGATGCTAAGAACGCATCTGTAGACAAATCAGACACATATTCAAGGTGTACAGCCTTGACTGCGAAACATACAAATACGGCAATATACACTTTAAATTGACGGGCCTTACGTAAACGGTGTTCCGTCATTACAATAGGACCGGCGAAGTCAATTCCGACACACGAAAACGGATGACATTCGGACACTCGAGACGTAGGTAAATCGGCATGATGGATTGCGGATTAACTGCCGCTAAACGGACACAAGTGACACATTTACAAAGGACGGACCTAATAAGCGAATTAAGTGAAAGAATCCAAAAGAACTGGTTAATGAGAGATGTTACTATCCTTGGACCACCGTGACCGGTAATTTCGTGCCAGTGACGGATTACTAAAATGGATAAATGCGACGATTTGTCTAATAGAATGGGGTGTTTTTGTGTCTCCGGCACATCTGCGTTTGATAGGTGGCCACCTACACAAATGAGACCGCGGGAATCTATAAACGGGCGGAGACGAGCTATAGGTCCGGCGGTAATCGTACGATTCTGCGACAGCTCGTAAAGTAACTTACCGAACGTAACGTGTTGTGAACATTTCGCGATGGTCACGGCGGCGTGGTCCAATTCGGCGCGGGTTAAAAATGGAGTTATGTATGTCTGATGACGCTTACAGATTTTAATAAAACGATACACATAAGCAACAACGCGAATCATATGAGAATATGAGGAAAAACGTGAGTACCATTCCGGTTTAGGAGTGTCACTTGTCTTGGTTACTAACGTTGCTGGCGACACGGTTTTTAATTCTGGTAAATTTTCAATATTGATGTCTCGACTCAACGTCGGCCCATCGAGTACATCACGATATAAAATTTCAGGTCCGTGCCAATATAATTTATGGTGGACCAAGTCGGTGGGGAAAACACCTCGCGACGCACAACGCGACGATATATAATCCCAGTGACAGTCGGGTAGTAACGTCATCACCTTGTGAATACGATTTGAAACGAAAACTTTAAATTTATCATGTGGTACTTTCAGCCAACTAAGTACAGTAGTAGAGTCTGACCATGCATATAAGTTTACTATTTGGATTTTATTATTTAACGCGGTTTTAATTCGAACCATCCACCGAGCGAGTAAGACCGCCGCACAAAGTTCCAACCGTGGAATCGTCGACGAATTGAGGGAGGCAGTTTTGGTTTTTGCCCCTAACAATGAAATTACTGGTGGTCCGGATTGGTTAAATAACCTTAAATAAACGACCGCAGAATATCCCTTTTCGGACGCGTCGCAAAATCCGCATAGGACACCTTGCACACCGGTCTGAGTACCGATAAAACGGGGAACAGTTACTTGTTGTAACACGAGGAGATCCGCCACAAACTTATTCCAAACGTCAACTATTTCGGGGGGGTAATGGATCATCCCATGAAATACCCATCTGCCATACACGTTGCATCAAATGTTTTGCGAAAAATATCACGGATGCTAATAAATCGAATATGCGGGCAATTAGTGACAGCATCCCCCGCTTAGTTGAGACTAAACGTTCAGGTTGAACAATATACAAAAAGGTGTCATCACGTTGTGACCATTGAAGCCCTAATACCTTGGAGCCGCTACAAGTATCATCATGAAAGGACGACATCCCGCCGGCCCTATCGTCAGGCAGTACCCTATCTAAAACCGCGGTGTTATTGCTTGACCACTTCTTCAAGCTCATTCCTGCTCGTTGCAATGTGTTAATTAAATCGGTCTGGAGTGTGATTATTTCATCTACTGTGTCTCTCCACACGCAGATGTCGTCGACGTAAGTGTTGAACATTAAAGTGTCACGGACAGATGGAACGTCAGCACAGTCAAACTCAGCAATTTCCCGAAGCACCCGTATAGATAAGAACGGGGCACAGTTTACCCCATACGTTACAGTATTCAGTTCATATGCCTTAAGTTCATCCAGCGGGGATGCACGCCATAGAATGTGTTGATAACGACGATGTTCGGGAATTAACAAAATTTGTCAATACATTTTATTAATGTCCGCGGTAAATGCATAACGCGGCAGACGAAAACGCATCAGTACATCAATAACGTCCTGTTGTAATTTTGGGCCCGCGAATAAACATTGGTTTAACGATGTACTAGAAAACGATTGAGCGGGCGCGTCAAACACGACACGAATTTTGGCTTCTGAATCGGAAGACTTGAACACAGCATGGTGTGGTATAAAGTAGGAATCAGTGGTCGTAGCTGGGGACATGTGCCCTAAGGATAAATATTTAGCCATAAAGTTACAGTACGCCTCGCGAAGTCAGTCGTCTGATGTAAGCTTTCGCTCGAGGAATTCAAAACGTTTTACTGCGATAGCACGCGAGCCAGAAAATATATTGTCCGCGACCGTTTGACGGAACAACAGGGGCACGACGAAACGTCCGGATTCGTCACGAGAACATTTATCACGGAACAACTCCTCACATTTTCCGTTACAAGTGAGGGTCACTGAGGCCGCGTCTGGTTCCTCCACTTGCCAGAATTTATCCATTAAAGATTCGATTGAGGAAACCAATGAAATATGATGTGAAGTAGGAACGTAATTATTCGAAGGAGGGACAGGGCCAATTATTATCCAACCAAATATTGAGCCGAATGCCACCGGGTACGAGTCACCTACCGACACCCGTTTACCGTTCAAGATACGCGCAAATATGTCGGCACCGAGTAACAAATCAATCTTACTTGGTATCGTGAACGAGGGGTCCGCTAGGGCCAAATTTTTATATTTGTCTGCTACCTGGCTGGATACTGACTGGCTAGGCATGTTACCTGTAACCGTGGGGAACACCTAAGCTGTAAAATTGATAAATGGTTCATTCGAAAATCGAGGCTGAATATCGCAAGTGACCATTCCCTTAACAATCGGTATGTATTAGTTGTTTAACACGGTGTACAGTAAAATGTTGTTAAATGATTTAATAACATCTGAAAAAAATATAAAACGAAAATTAATAGAAATGAAACGAGGTATTATAAGTTCTGATCATGACTTTCGTGAGACGTTTAAACCAATAATCGATCCTCTTAACACTATTATAGAAAATAAAAAAGATACTGAAGCATTTAAACCAGTGGAAAATATTGATGAAAATGCAGATAATAGTTCATCAGTTTCAGCCTTTGAAATTTTTTTAAATACACCTTTTAAATCTAGAAAATATGATAAATCATTTGGATTATTTTATGATAAAACCGATGACATACTCAAAATAGGAAATCACCCTGTAACTTTAATAAATGATCATTTACATGTTTTCGGTAAACATTTTCCTTGGACGATTGGTCTTTAGTCGTTTGTATAGGTACTTTCTCGCATACTAACTACTTTTGAAGACATTGAAACATATTATGAAATATTAAAAACTACGAAAGTTCATCTTAAATCAGATGGAAAACCTAAAACTAATAGCAATTTTAAATGGAGACATGTTATAAAACCATTATACGAACGAATGAAAAATAATTTAAAAAACTCATCTCCTTTAAAAACTTCACCTAATTTAAATCTAGCTCAATTTAACGATTATATTTTAAAAATAAAAATAAAAAAGATAGATGATTCTGGGCTTGGAAATGATCAATCAAATTTTTCATCACCAGTAAAGTTTACACCATTGGAAACTGAAATAGATCCAGATTTAATAAATTTTACTACACCATCCTTTAAAACGGGGTCTGGTTTATATAAACAAGTAATACCAAAAAATATTACGATGATCCTAATGAACTAGTTACAAGACTCAATCTTTTAACATCTTCTCGGAATGCAGGTTATACAGGTGTGAATAACGAAATTATATCTATTTTAGAAGAACTACGTGAAAGGAATATTATATAATAATTAATGTTAAATATAATCTAATAATTATTATTTTATATTATAAAAGCTAATTTAAAATAAACGTGTATTATTTTTTAATAATGTCTGCATTAGAAAATATAGCAAATGAATTGCATTAGTCTGTAAGAAGAACTTTTTCGAGACGGAAAGTTATTACACAATTTAAGGACGATCTTTGGCAAGCAGACTTAATAGATATGCAATTACATTCTAAAAAAAATAATGGTTTTAAATTCATTTTAATAATTATAGATACGTTTACTAAATATATATGGACATTTCCCTTAAAAAATAAATCTGCTAATGAAGTTACAAGAGGTATGTCTATATTTAAAAAAAAAATAAGCCAAAGTTATTACAAACAGATAACGGCACAGAATTTTACAATAATCAATTTAAAGATTTAATGAAAAAATATAGTATTAAACATTATTCAACTTAGTAGTATAAAAGCTGGAATAGTAGAACGAGTTATTCGAACAATAAAAAATAAAATGTATACACATTTTACTGCAACAGGATTATGGAACTGGTATAATTCTTTAGGTAAATTAATTGAAAGTTATAATAATACAAAACATAGAACAATTAATTGTACTCCGCTTGAAGCTAGATTAAATTCAAATAATATACAATATAAAACTATTATTCAAAAAACATATAAAAAACCAGATTCAAAGTTAAAAATAAATGACAAAGTACGAATATCTAAGTATAAACATAATTTTAGTAAAGGATATACACCAAATTGGACTACTGAAATATTCACTATTGTTAAAATTTTAAATACAAATCCAATAACTTATCAGCTAAAGGATAGTTTTAATAATATAATAACCGGTTGTTTTTATAAAGAAGAAATTAGAAAAACAAAATTTCCTAATACTTTTCTTATTGAACGTATTTTAAAAAAAAATAATAATAAAATGTATGTTAAGTGGTTAGGTTATAGTAATAACTGTAATTCGTGGATAAATATTAATGATATTGTTAAATAAATTATGAGAATTTAAATACAGTCTATGAAATAATTTCAATATTTATTTATTTATACTAGATATTTTAATATTTACAATCATAACAATTTGTTTAATATGTTACATAAAGCAAAAACACAAAACATTATATTGTTTATTTAATAGTATATATAATTTTAACATATATAAAATAATAACACATAAATATATAATATAATTTACAGTTTAAAAACAAATATTATAAAATTATAAAACAGTATATTATTTATTTAATAACATATATATTGTAGGTAAGTACAGCTTTGCAGCTTTAAACAAAACTAAAAAAAAAAAAAATCAAAAAGTCAACACCACGACAAGCCAAGACGAAGGCGATGACGAATTAGTGTAGTGTCGACGTGATACAAACCTCGAACCCACGACATATATTGATCGCTGACAATAGATTCCCCATGAAATTTTTGCGCATCTAAAGCACGAACAATAATTTTTCGTAGGTCATACAGCTCATTTACATCCATTAAACGTATATGAGAACATTTTACGTGTAATGGCTTGTTAATGCGAGGACGAACCACGGCAACAGGTCTATGTGGCATATCCTTATAAATTTAAACAATTAATTAATATAATTGAAGCTTTAATTATAGCTATAAAAAAAAAAAAAAACGTATTTTAATATTTAGATTTAGCTTTTAATTTATAATGACCGTAAGCCATAGTGTTAATACCATCATTCATTACGTATCTTTTATCGTCATCTGCATTTAAAACTAATTTATTAGTAGTTTTTGAAAAAACTATATGTTTATTTGATTGAATATAATTCATATCACGATATGCAATTTTTTTATCAACCGATTTTATGTTGAATGTGTGCATTTAATACTTCAATGTATTCATCAATTTTTAAATGTTTATCAATTACGTATTTTTTAGTATCTTTAGCTTTTTTAATTACTTGATCACAAAATCTTATTAGAAAATATAACATTAAACATTATTCAACATACAGCAGTATAAAAGCAGGAATAGCTGAACGTGTTATACGTACAATTAAAAATATTATTTATAAAAAGTTTACAGCAACAGGTTTATATAATTGGTAAAGTTTAATATCTAATATTGTATATAATTATAATAATACTAAACATACAACAATTAAATGTACACCAAATGAAGCTAGAACAAAGGCTAACAAAAAACAATTACTTAAAACAGAAAAAATAAAGATAAAATGTAAATATAAAGTAAATGATAAAGTTAGAATATCTAAATATAAACATACATTCAGTAAAGGATATACACCAAATTGGACAACAGAAATTTTTACAATTTCAAAAATTTTACCAACAGATCCAGTAACTTATCAGTTAAGGTGCGATTCCTATGCACGCGTCTATTGGCGCGATTTAATTTTAGCCGCGCCGGCACTACTTTACATGTTTTTAAATATAACCGATTCCTATGATCGCGGCGGTCGTGCGCGGCGGCCGCGCGCTTCTACAGCCACGCGGCGACGACCGCTTCGAGAGCAGTCAAATCGCACGAGACGCGCGGCCAGAAGCTAATTATTTGTATTTTAATTTTCAAAGATCGAAATTTTGCGAACACTGTGTGACACAAAATGTCTTCAAAAGTGTAATTTACTGTGTAAGAAGACATACAATTGGCTGAATGTGTTAGGGAACATCCATGTTCGTATGATCTAAAAATGCTAACTACAAAGATCAACAAATAAGGGACAATGTATGGAAGCTTATATCAAATAACCTGAATAATAAAAGTGATAAGTAGTATACCCTTTCAAGTTTAATAGAACAATTAATAACTTTGTTTGTTTTATCATATCTTTATAATTTAAAAACTATGTACGATTTTATTCATGTTTATTTTTAATAATTTTATTATGATGTTTTGGCATTTTTAAAAGTTCTTTTGTTAATTTTATACTGCATTATTAATTTTTATTAAACGAGAAGTTGAACACAATTTATTATGAATAAAAATGGTTTTATACTCATTATTTAAAAATTAATATTATCTAGGTATATTATGAAATGTAAATTATACTACAAACATATATTATGTTAAATTACCTCAGCGTGATTGCTAGTTTTAGCCGTGCGTCTTCTGACGCGTACATAGGAATTAATATTAGACCGCGCGGTTAAATAAATGACCGCGCGGCCAAAATTCAAATCGCGCCGCGCAGTCGCGCGTCTCTAGACGCGCGCATAGGAATCACACCTTTAAAGGATTCATCAGATAATATAATTCGTGGCTGTTTTTACGAACAATAAATTAATCTAACTAATTTTCCAGACACCTTCCTCATTGAACGTATTATAAAAAGAAAGAAAAATAGTATGCTTGTTAAATGGCTGGGGTTAAATTCAAATTATAATTCATGGATACAATCTACAGATATTTTAAAATAAAAATTATGTATTATAGTTTTTAATTTTTAATGATATTTTTTTTATTTGTGATATTTACTTGCTTTATATTATTTTTGCACAATCGATTTTTAAATAAAAAAAAAATTAAAATCTACAGAAATGATTAAGTTTTATTTATTTTTTAAATCGCATACTTAAAACATTTATTATCATTATTTTTAACATTTATTATAGCTTTTTTATTTTTAATAAATGTTGGTAAATCTATATACGAAGACCCTCTAAGAGGATTTACATTATTTATTCTTAATTGTAATCCGTCTATTGATACAAGTGACCATCCAGAACCTTTAGCAATATATTCAGATTCTTCTTCTAATATTTTGCTAAACATACCATCTAATAAACTCACGAAATTAGACGAATTACAGCCTAACATATTTTTAGTCTTTAAGGCTACATTTTGGATTTCATTTGATAGTGTACGTTCATAAACACTATCAACATGAATATTAAATTTAATTGAAGTTTGTATACATGAATACTTTAATTTAGAAATTATCGTGTCAGAAATCGAACTGAAAAGTAATGGATAATTTATAAATTTTGATGTATTTTTTATGAAAAATGTTTTAGAAGTTTTTTTTAAAGCGTTATATTTCTACAAGTCCATCTCCAATCGTATTCATACGAATACTTTTTGAAATCATTCGCCGTTTCATTTTCAAAAAATAAATATATTTACTTTAATACGTTATGTTAAAATTATTAGATATTTTGTATGATTATTATTTGTAAAAAAATATTTAAAAAATATTTTTTACATTGATGTCTTACAGTAAAATATACGTATTATATAATACATTTGATATATTTATATTAAGACTTACATTTTTTATTGTTGATGTTATGTTATGTTATGTTATGTTGCAGAAAATGTACAATATTTTTTAATTACAGCAATTGAGAAGACGTAGAATATTTCCAACTACGAAACCGTTTTACAATATAATGTTGAATAAATAATTACTCGTTCGCTCTAATTTATTAAACAGAAAAATGAGACTATGATTAGAAAAAATTTACAGAAAAACTAGATAATACTTTAACCCTTTATAGGGCATAAGCCGCTTTTGATTTGTTTGAGCCAAAATTTATTTTCCAGACTCACATACATGTATTTATAAATAATTTTGAAAAAAAAATTTTTTTTTTCTTATAGTTTGGTAGTTATAGGGTGGTAAAATAGTTTACCACAGATCGTTTAGGGCTTGTATAAACACTATTTGGTTACTGGTGAATTATTTTACCACTTGATAGCTTAATAGGAATATAATAAAATAATAGTTATATATGCATATAAAATTGTTTTTTTTATTAATAATATTCAAAGATAACATAAAATTTAAATTATCATTTATCACACATTTATTACGACTATATCCTTTTCAGTCTTATAAGTTTAATATATAAAATTAAAAACTTAAAAACATTTTTATAAAAAATTGAATTAAAATATGAATAACATAATAATATTTTACATAGTATAATATTATGTATTTATATTAACGCTCACATTATTGCTGATGATAAATCAATTTTTTATTTTTTAACAAAAATCTTTTCGTACGTTGTAAGGTCAGATTCACACACTACGAGTGTTAGCACTGAACGAGAGAAATAATAGAAATGGATGTTGGTGTAAAGCCGAGTATTGTTACTTAAAAAAAAAAAAAAAGATGAACGATATTTTATTTTCCTACTAAACATATACGAGTATATAAATTTACCTTATGCATTTCCAAGAACTATTATATCCGACAAGACTTAATATATAATATTGTGATAAGTACGTGTATGTACGAATTATAAGTGGTTTTAATGATCCCCAATATCCTGTACCGTGTTCTAAGAAAAATAATAATTTCTGAATATGTCATCTTTTTAAATGTTGAGATAGATCTGTGTATGTACTAATTATAAGTGGTTTTTTAATGATTCCCAATAACCTCAGAATATGTAGTCTTTTTAAATGTTGAGGTAGGTCTGTGTATGTACGAATTATAAGTGGTTTTTTTAATGATTCCCAATAACCTTGTACCGTTTTCTAAGAAGAATAATAATTTCTGAATACGTTATATATATAATATTAACAATTGTACGAAAGTAGAAGTAGTAGTATCTACTATATAAAGCTGTAAGTAGTCTCTATAATATTATCAGTTCACAGTAAGACCTGTAGTACGACGATCTTAAGAAACATGTCAGCTTTTGAATTTTCAGAATTGACAGTTCAAATATCAGTGATGTAAGTACAATTATCATTAATATTTATTTTTTTTTTTTACATTTTCATTTAAATGAATCGTTAATATTCTATCTTTTATCAAACTACATGTCTACTTTCAATAAAAATGTACATAAATCTGAACTTAATGTATATGAATAAAAAAAAAAAATGTTTTCTTTTATGTTTATTATAGACCTATTCAAGTATAAAAATGGATGACGAAATGAATAAACAAAAAAATTAAAAAAAATTTAAAAAGAAAAACTAAAAAAATGAAATCCGGAAAAGTAATTTTTTTTTTTTTATATTTAGGTTGTATCATATAAAGAAAAACTCAGTTCTATTATAAAATCAAAAAAATATAATAATTTAACAACAGAATTTAGTGACAGTATAATTATTAGAGAAGCAGAAATAAATTATACTATAAAATGTCCATCACAATCTGTCAAGAATATTGGGTGGTTCAGCATTTCAAAACTAAAAAAATTGCTAATGTTCCGCCTCAGGAAAGGTGATATTAAATATGAAATCTTAAATAATTATGTATTAACCATTTTCAATTTTTTAGGTGGAAACATGCTGAATGTATAATCAAAATGACTCTGTCAGACCAGAAAAGCAACGACATAAATATTAACAACCAACTGCAAAAAACAATCGAAATAATTTTGGATTGGTTTATGGCTGATCCGAAAAAGAAAATGACGACAAATAAAAATTTAAATTGAATTTTAATTATATATTGAAATAATAAAAATATACGTTTATACTTGAATATTGCGTTTAAATTTTTTTTAAAAAAAATCTCGATTGAGAACTGTAAAAAATTATAAATAAATGCTATAAAAGTAAACAATTTATCATGCGATAATAAATAAAATATATAACCATCTTTTTTGATGTTGACTACTTTATTAAATTTTAAATTATAATAATATACAATTATGGGGTGATAAAATACAGTAAATTATACAATATATATATATTTAATATAAATCAGTAATGTTTATAACAGATAATGTTTGGGCCAAAACGACGATCGAAGGACCAGTTACAATGACATATAAATATAAAATTATAATTTGTATGTGGTGGGTGCCTAGAATTTGTGGGCTAAACAATTTCACCTACTCCCCGCGATAATGTTGGAGGTAGGCAACCCAAGGTTCGCAATTGACCGATAGCGTTCGGCGGCGGCTCTAGCACGACGGCGGCACCCGAAAGGAATGGAAACAATTTAGTTATACAAGGGAAAAAGGAATTTTAGTTTAATAATCGGGGGGGGAAGTCTCTGTGGTCGAATCGTTCTGGTGCAATGACCACAGAGCTCACACACAAATCGGACGAAATACTAAAATTAAACAATCAGGCCACACTTAAAAACTAACACTTACAACAATTTTGACGGCTGACGCTGGTAACTAAAATGGTAATGATGATTGAAGAATTCACGATGGATTACTGGAACAGGAATTAAACATCACAATACACACGACGACATATTCAATACAGATTATTGGTAATCAAATTAATTTATTGGTAACATGAAGTTAAATATTTGACACAAATCGATTTGTACGGCGATGGCCAGTGACAATAATAATAATAATGAATATTTATAATACTATAATAATAATAAGAAAGAATTCATTAAATATGAATAATACAAAATATCTCAATGACGAGAGACAAAAAAAAGTTACGTGGTGTTACAATAACGACCGAAAAACAAACGTGGACGAACGAATGAGAAAAAAAATAAACTAAAATGATATAAATATAATGAAAATAATTATCAGCGTTACATAATACGGTTGATTGGCAATAATATAAATAAGAATATAATATGCAATTAAAAATTCACATAAATACAGTTGGGAAGCCGGAAGAAAGAAGTAGATAAGGAAAAAATGGACAGTGCCGCCGTGCAGATTAACTCGCGTATGCATCGGTTTCTTCCACATAACAATACGCGCAAACATCACCGCCCACTTTGAAGGAACTTCAACAAGAAGACGGCACTGGACAAAGTTTAACTGCTGGTCGAGTTAAATCAGTATGGACAGTGGCCACACGAGACACACCATTTGCTTCAGGATGTAACGCAAGGATACGCCCATATCGCCAATACAATGGAGGAGTATTTTCTTTTATTAATACAAGATCACCTACGTTCAATGGTTTGCCGTGTTCTGTCCATTTTTTACGGAGTTGAAGAGTTGACAAATATTCATTTTTCCAGCGAGTCCAAAAGTGCCGATGAATATCCGATACCAAGCGCCAACGTTGCATTTTTGAAAGTGGTAAGTTTTCCAAACAAGGATCAGGCAGAGAAGTTGGGGGTTCCAAGTTTAAAAAATGACCAGGAGTTAAGGCTTCTAAATCTTTTGGGTCGTTACTTAAAGCACATAAGGGTCGTGAGTTTAGAGTGGCCTCAATTTTTGTCAGTAACGTGATCAATTCTTCACTAGTTAGTTTATGAATCCCGATTGAGCGAGAAATTAGCGATTTCGTAGACTTCACTCTGGCTTCCCAAAGACCTCCGAAATGGGGTGATGAAGGAGGATTAAAATGCCAAGTAATTTGAGCCTTCGATAAATGATTGCGAACTCGATCTTGGAACGTAGTTGAGGTTACAAGATGCTGTAATGGATTTAGGAGATTTACTGCGCCAACGAAATTAGAACCACAGTCACTATGTATTTCTTTAATCGGTCTACGCCTAGCAGCAAAACGAGTAAACGCGAGTAGAAAAGTTTCCGTAGATAAGTCGGAGCTGAGTTCTAAATGTAAAGCTTTTGTTGCTGTGTATACAAATAAACAAATGTAGGCATTTCTACGCGGTGAAGATTGACCACGCTGTCCTTTTAAAGTAATTGGACCAGCATAATCAACTCCCGTTACAGAAAAGGGTTTGATCTGTTGAACCCGGTATTTTGGTAGAGTTGCCATTTTCGGTTGAACACTTCGAGGTGGAGTTCGATAACACGGCATACAGAGACGGAGCCGCGATCGAATGGCTTGGCGAGCAGATAAAATCCAAAATTTTCGTTGTAGATGCGTTTGAAGGGCCATGGCACCTGGATGATGTAACATACGATGATGATGATCAATTATGAGATCTGTCAGACGATGGTGTGAGGGTAATAATACAGGATGTTTTTGCATGTATGGAATATCAGCATGACGGAGTCGACCGCCCACTCTGAGAAGCTCATCTCTATCGATAAACAAATCTAACATACGGAAAGGTTTCGAACAAGAATGGCCGTTTGACAATTTTGCTATCTCTTCGGCAAACACCTGTCGTTGCGTTACATAAATTAAAGTAGACAACGCTTGTGCCATCTCGTCAGCATTTATAATCTTCGTGACAGGAATAGATGTACGTGACCTCAAAAATCGCCGGCAATATGCAATAATGCGACTAATCTTTTGTAATGATGAAAACTTACTTAATATCTCATCCATAGATATATGTACTGTCATTGCAAGTAACTTTGGCCGGGACTCATAATCTAACGAGTCACTAACGATATCTGATTCCGTTACCAGGAATTGGGGCCAGTTTGCTGGGGGTTCTAACAAAAAAGATGGGCCAGTCCACCATAAGGAATGATTTATGAGCTCTGAAGGGAACGTTCCACGTGAAGCACAATCAACAGGATTTTCTTTCGTAGATACATGACGCCAGATAGACGGAGAAGTTAATTCTTGAATCTGACTGGTTCTATTAGCTATAAAGGTTGCCCAACGGTGTGGAGAAGAACGGATCCACGCTAAGGCGGTTGTGGAGTCGGTCCAGTCGTGCAGTTCATCGATTTTAAAGGTTCGGGCACACAGAACGCGGTCTGTCGCGGCGGTCAGCGATAATTTCCCGCGGCGGTAAGGCGGTAAAGTTGTATACGTAATATCGCATTATCTCCGTCACACAGAAGGCGGTCTGTCGCGGCGGGCTAGTTCAGATCGCGACGACAGGCGACAAAGTCGTACAAAATTACAGATTACCGCGCGGGCAACTTGCGGTCTGTTTATCTTGTTTACTTTTTACCTATGTAAAAATTGATACTATGGACGAAACTGAGATGCTGATTGAAGAAGTCAGAAAATATGTATTCTTATTCGATACATCTCACCAATATTACAAAAATGTTGTAAAAAAAGCAGAAGCATGGACTAAAATATCGGAACAACTGGGAATAACTAGTAAGTGTATAGTCTAATATAGTATAGTATAGTAAAATATAATAGAATATATACCTCTAAATTTTACATTCATTGTATTTATGGTAATTTGAAGGTAATACGTATTCACAAATTATTTTTTGTATTTTTATTCACTTGTAGTAAGTAATACGTAATCAAAATGAATTAATCTATTCTATGGTACATACGTATAGGACCAATACTATAGGACTATAGATAATAGATTTTATAATATATTACCAAGTTCAATTAGGTAATTCCTATTTTATAGAAATATTTTATTTTTATTTGCTTTGACAGACAAAATATTTTGGTATTTAATTTTATTACACGCTATTGATAAAAACTGTATACATATTCGTAAGATGAATTTATTAATAGTTTATTTAATAATATTACCGAACAGTGTACACCCGATATAGAAATAAATATTGAATACTATACTAAAATGCTAGATAATATTATATTCTAATAATAATACAATAATATTTAAAAGCATATTATTTCATTTATTAAAATAACTCGCAAACTGTTCTCGAATTTCAAATGCAGCCGTATTTGTCCTTCGATTAGTCGATCTCATGTCCGATAAAGCTCGAATAGTTTCAGTTTGCTCCTCACTTTCAATGAATGTGTTATTATTTTTAATCATAATGTAGTTATGTAGGCAGTATGCAGCTTTCACAATGCATTCGGCAGTTTTAACATCCGTTTCTATTGATCTTAGGAATACTCGCCACTTCATAGCTAATATACCAAACGCATTTTCGACCACACGGCGCGCTCTGCTTAGTCGCATATTGAACTTTTTCTTTTTTACGTCACTTATCATAGTGGCTTTAGGGTAAGGTCTCATCAAATAAGTTTGGAGAGCAAAACCTTCGTCACCAATGAATACGTGGGGAACAGGATTATCGGTACCTGGAAGTGGCTTCGAAGGTAGAATAGTTTTTCCATCAATGTACTGCTGAAAAAAAGCGGAATTTTCGAAAATAGCGCTGTCGCTGTGACGCCCATAGCTGCCAATATCAACTACCATAAACTTGTAAAACGGGTCTACTACCGCTAAGAGAACGATGGAAAAAAAATTTTTGTAGCAGAAATAACTTGAGCCACTATTACTAGGACATTTTACTTTAATGTGCTTTCCATCAATGCTTCCTAGGCAGTTAGGAAATCCCCAAACTTTTGAAAATCCCTCCACAGCTTCATTCCATATCTGTTCAGTAGGTGCAGGTAAATAAGTTGGATGTAGATTGTTCCAAATTTCTTGACAAACTTCTTTTATAATTTTTGAAACAGTTGATCGTCCCGTTCGAAAAGAAAAAGCAATACTTTGGTGGCTGTCACCGGTAGCTAAATATCTAAAAAATAAATAAAGATTCATAAAATACTTTTTAGATTCTTAACGGAGCGATGAATGTATTGATTTTTTAAAAATCATTTTAAGTTCAAATTTAGACAAAATTTATCAAATTTTAAATTATTTTGTAGTTAAAAATGTATAAAATGTTCAACTTTTATAGCTATGGATTGAAAATTTAAAACAAGGTTCAACGTAAATATGTTATAATATATTAATAACTTTATTCACAATAATATCATCGATTAATATACTTAGTAATATAGGCTGACTGACCGTCTTCGCTCAGAATAATTTTTCTTATACAATGATATGTAACTTACTGTACAGCAGAGCGACTCCCACTTACCCACCCTTTTTTAATATATTATTATCTTTTGTAATTTTAATCTCTCTTTTTTATTTTATTCTATTCAACCTCGTATTGTTTTAATGTTTTTCAGGTGAATTGGCCAAAACTAAATGGAAAAATTTGCGTGATTCCTATATGAGATTCAAAAAAAGTGTAAAAGGAGAAACAGGGCAAGCCAAGAAATACCATAAATGGCCATGGAGTAGCCACATGGAATTTTTAGATGATACTCTCAAATTTTGTCCTCCAAGCAGTAATATACCTGATATGTCAATAGGATCACCTAATAGACCAGAAACACCACCACAGGCGGCACAGAGTTCAGATACACATGAAAGTATTATTTCTCCAAGTATCAAACAAATGCCACCCCCTTTAACACCACGGAAAAAACTTAAGTCACATCATGAAGTTAATGACGTTGAAAAAGTTATCGACTATTTGCAAACAAAAAAAAGAACACAACTCGACGGTACTGATCATTTGTTTTTAAGTTACGCGGACACTTTTAAAAAATTTCACCCTCAAATACAAGCTGAACTTAAGATAGAGCTTGCAACATTATTCGCAAAAACTGAATTAAGAGAGCTACGTGAGCAAGTAAGACCAATATATTATACTGACAATTCAGCTACTAGTTCCCCAAATTCTCAGTATAGTTTTGAATCACAGAGCCAGCCGGATAATCTTTCGTATACAACGACGAGGGATGTTTATGAAAATGCGAGCAACATGGTTATTGGATTAGGGTTGCCTAACCCTAATCAATATATTAATTAAGAAATTTTACTGTCTAATGTTAAAACAAATATGTTTTATTTAAACTTTTTTTTACTTTAAAAACATTAATAAACTAAAAATAACTAAGATATTACACAATATTTTTCAATTTTAATAAATAAATAAGGTATAATCAGTTTTTTTATTTTTATCTATCTTATAATAAATGTATTTATATTTATTATTAGTTTAACTTTTGTTATATGTTATTTTGTGAAATTTACCTCAAACAAATAGCTAATCTTTCTCTTGACTCGATTGGTTCTCTCCAGTTTGTTGGCAATTTTGAAATATTTTCTTTTACTAGGTCATGTAATTCCTCGAAACACTCTCGTGACATGCGAAAATATTGAAAAAAACGATCTTCATGTGATTGAAGTTCAATACAAAGACGATGGTATTCGCCAAATGATTTTCTTTTCGTATTTATTTCATGCACCCAACATCGTCTTTTTCTTTTGTTTTGAAGGGCGAGTAGAAGAAGAAGTTGCTCTTCGTCAGAACTTGACATATTGAATAAATAATAATATAATGAAAAAAACACTGGAATATATCGATGATTTGTTTGTAACTATATGACTACAACCGCAGGTGGATATGTGACTGGCAAATATCATGTTTTTAGGCTAGACCGCTTATGAAAAAAAACGCATGGTGTGTGGCGTCACCAGATCGCTGACCGCCGCGACAATCCGCGACCGCTGACCGCCGCGACAGACCGCGTTCTGTGTGCCCGAACCTTAATATGATCACTGTATGTATCCACAACTAGACGAAGTAATTTTGCTGCCTGAACGGTGCCACAGAGTTCTAGTCGGGGAATAGTACAGCGTTTTAGAGGCGCGACTTTTGATTTACCGGTGATGAGTTGACAATTAACGGAGTTAGCTGTTGTTACACGAAAATATATGGCGGCAGCATATCCTTTTTCAGAGCTGTCGGAGAATGCGTGGAGCTGGATATTAATAGTAGCATCATAAGTTAATCGACGAGGAATTTTAAATGATTCCACCAAGTGCAGTTCAGTCTGATATCGTGCCCACACCACGGAAATCTCATTCGGAATCGGATCGTCCCATTTAACCAGCAGTCCATAGTTGTTGCATAATATGTTTGGTGAAAAACGTTAAAGGAGACAAGAGGCCTAGCGGATCGAACACACGGGCGATATCTGATAGAACTGAGCGTTTTGTTGGTATGCCCGATGAGGGTTGTGCCTGAAAATAAAATGAATCAGAAGGAGGATCCCACTTTAGTCCAAGCACTTTTAATTCTGGAAGGTCCCCACTGTTAAACAGCATTGAAACAGACATTGCACGACAATTTTCCGGTACGGCTTGTAGAATATTAGGATTATTGCTTGCCCACTTGTGAAGTTCAAATTGTGCTAATGCACACAAGTTAATTAGTTCCTTTTGACGATGTAATGCTTCAGTTTCTGAATCGGCGCCAGTTAAAATGTCATCGACAAACGTGTCATTGAGTAGAATATTGGCGGCTAGTGGCCATTCAGCACCATTTAGAATAACTAGATGACGAAGAGTACGTAATGCTTGAAAAGGTGCAGCTGACGTGCCATATGTAACAGTACTTAAATGATATTCATCAATAGGAGACTGAGTTGAGAAACGCCAAAAGATTCTGAGATAGTCTCGATCAGACGGTTGAATAAGAATTTGGCGATACATCTGTTTGATATCGGCCATAAAGATGAATTTCCAAAGTCGAGCTCGCAACAACACAACTTGGATATCTGGTTGTAATTTTGGACCAGTATAAAGACTATCGTTCAACGAAATGCCGGCAGACGTACGTGCCGACGCATTAAATACCACACGCAGCTTGGTGGTTTTACTCTCAGGTTTCAGAACACAGTGGTTTGGAATGTAATAATTTAAAACATTGTCTCGTTCATGTAATGGAATAAGTTCCATATGTTGAATAGAACAAATTATAACAATTTTGATAGTAATTCATTTTTTTCTGTTTTTCTATAATATTTGAATCCAGTGGCGGCTCGTGGGGTTCGTTGAAGGTGGGGCACAAATATTTCCTTCTTTTTTCACTATGAGAACTTTGAACTTACCATCAATTCCTGTTGATTTTTTAAATGAAATAAAAATTTTTACCAAAACCTTATACTCTTATAAAGTATCTTGCAAAACAAATAATTAAAAAAAAAATTATGGTTTAAAAATAAATATTGAATATAATTATTATGCCGTTATAATATAATTATAAGTTGTAAGTACTTTTAACAATTAACACAATATTATACAGTAGTTATATTTTTGAATTCCAAATCGATCCGTCTGTCTTTTTTCTTCATGAATACTTTGATGACTTCTTCATTAAAATTTGATATTTGGTTCACAATTTTCTTTTCAATTGATAACATCGCTAATGCTGTTAATCGCTCTTCTGCCATACTATTTCGAAGAAATGTTTTTATCCTCTTCAATGTCGAAAACGATCTTTCTGCTTCTGCAGATGTCATAGGTATTGTTGCTATAATACGTATAAGTTTAAATGTTTCTGAAAATATTTGTTCCAAGTTGTTATCAATAATAAACTGTAGTAAATTAACAGCACCTATTACGCTACGAAAATCTGTTCGTTTATATATAAGTTCCAATTCAGTTTGAAGCTTCCTTTTATTTAAAAAAGGGTAAGCTTCAATTGTTTCATCAACATATGTTTGTGGAAAACTTTTTTCATACAAAGGAAATTCAGTGGACATAAATAATAGAGACGCGTTTAAGAGGACGTGTCACCAAAACGGTTACGCGTGCAACGACCGGGAGGACGCGCTGTTAGGTGTTTTCACGATCCGCAAGCGCGCGGCGTTTATGTCACGCCCACTTTATAATTCGTAACGACGGCGACGACTAGTGCTCGTTCAGGAGCGCCGTTTATTTGTCTATGAATGTTCTTCCGGTATTAATCGTATCAATATAAAATTCATTATACGTAAATGTTGCCGTAATATTTTCAATACCTATGAACTACCGATTACAATTTAAGATACTGCTTACCTAAATTCATGTTCCAATATATAGGTTGTAGAAACTGTATTATAACATAACTTAATTTGTACTTAAAGCATTATAACTCATTCAAATATAATACCTATCCTAAAATATAATTTAATGAGTACCTGAATGAATACAGCGCAATCAAATTAATATTAATTTGACGTGTTTCATCTTTTATGCTCCTTTTTTAAATATGGATTTTTAATATGATAATAATTAATAAAAATAATATACATAATAATAATAATACATATATACATACTTACTTGTACTTACAATATTCTAAATGACTAAAACTAACGTATACAAATAAAAACGAGTAAAATATTTTTTTTTAGTAATATGATTAGTGATAATAATATAATAAACCTAATTTTATTTTAAAATAGCTGTTTTGAGATTTTCATTTGCTGTAAAATTATTTTTGACTCTCTTATGTCTGATTTCATAAATCTATATTTATAAACAGGATCCACGATTTCTGGCTGCAAACAGTTTAGATAAAACCTATAAGTATAAAATTTAATATTGATATACTTCCTATATTTTATTAAAAATTAAATATTGGATTTAACAAAAGTTAAATCAATATTAATATTCTAACAATGTTTACGTTTTTAATTTATCGACCATATGTGTACTCCAAAAATCATCATATTTTATTATCTGGACTGACATCCAATAAGTCGTGTATATAATAAAAAAGCATTGATCCTTTTGGGAAATATGCAGTTGTCCTTGAATTTGGTAGTAGTAAATATGATTTTTACTTAATACCAATTTGTTTTCTTTGATGAAACAATACTTCAACTGTGTTAATATTATAATAAATAAATTAGGTTTTAAAAAAATAAATAAGGAAAGGTATTTTTTTAGTAGGAAGCCAACCTTGCCAGTGGATACAGCCTCTATCTCATTTTCCGTGTCTTTTGCAGCATAAGGACATTTAATTTCAACAATAGCAGTATCCCCAATAATTCCATCTAAAATAATTTTGAAAAAAAAAATCGTAATATTAATTAATTAATTATTTTATTATGTACTAGAGAAAATAGTAGGAAAATCAAATCATGTTAAACCTGGACTAGCAGCTAAATATGGAATTTGCGTATCGATCAAAAGACCACATTTTTCTATTGTGTAACCGAACTTTTCTTTAAATTTTGTTTTTGCCTCATCTTCCATATCCCTACCATACTGGACAGACCTATAGAATAAAAAAGTATAGAATCTATTAAATAAAAAAAAAAATAGTACCTAATAAAAATATTCTTAATATTAATAATGCACATTTTAGTTATAGTGCAGTATTTTAAGTGTATAACATTTAACTAACTTGCTATTGAATGTTAGATATAAGATTGAATGCACTATATTTTTGCAACTAGTATTGCGACGCATTTTGCATACACGACCAAAGTTACTAGCAGTGAGTCGGATCATCCTTTCTGCCCTCCAGTTTTCACTTTCGGCTTGATATCTTGTAGTTTCTTCTACTGTGGTGCGGTTGACGTCATGTAAAGTCCTTTAGAAACGAAATTATTGAATAAAACGAATAATAGCTAGCCAAGGTATTGGGTATTCAGTATTTTTATCATTGTTTGTATGTAATAGGTGCCTATATAGTAGTATAGTACCTACTTCAGAAACTGTTCCATATCTTTTACAAACGATGGATCATCGACTTCTCTTATACCTATATTAATAACGTAAAAAATATGACAGTTATTAATTAGGTATAATTAAGTTTATTTATTACAATTTACAATAATATGTGAGCTTATCATTACATACCGTCTAATATGTCTGCGTTACCATAGTGTTCGTCTGGTTTGAAACTAGCTTTTGGTCGCTTTAATTTATATTTAAGTTTGGTCGAAAGTTGTCTTCGTTTTTGGCAAGCAGAACGTTTTTTTATTATTTGACTCAAAAATGATTTAGCTGTTTTTCCTAACAAAAAATTAATTAATAGGTTATTTTATATTTGTATATAATAATGAATTATATAATAGTAATTTTCAAAAAAAAAATGTTATCTCACCAGGACTTGTTTGAGTGATGTTTTTTTACAGCTCTTAAATACTCGCTAGAATTAAAACTAACCACGGCTGCTAATATCCTTGTATTATAAGAACTCCTTTGAGTATAATTTATTCTTTAGCCACCAAGAAATTTATTAATAACACTATTAAATTGTTCGCAGACGTTGTTGTCTACGTCCAATATAAGGCTCTTTGCATTATTAGCCAAACGAGGAACAATTATATTAATTTCTTTGGCTATACTTTCATTTTCATTTGACTTGCAGTTATCAACTGAGTTATGTACAGATTTTTCACAAAAATAAGGAGCACATTTTTTATGGCAATCAAAAAGTCGATGGTTGGGTGCGTTGGTTATGTCGTATTTAAGATCTAAAAAGCCCCAAATAAATGAATAAAATGTAATAAACATTAGGTACTTACTTAAAATTTTCTGTTGTAATGGTTTTTCCTCAGATTTTCTATACTGTATAGCTTTTGTTATATCAGTTCTAAGCCTAACGAGGATATCAGCAATTTTTTTTCTGATCGCAAAAATTCTGTCCGTTTAGTGAGTGCAGACATTTTTTGGGAATAGTTCCTAAGCATATGATTCCTGCATTAAATTTTTTCGACTCTTAGGCTCGCACCATACGGTAGTATTTCATTTAGCCTTTTTGTGACACTACTGTCACCATCACCTAAAACATTTTTTTTAAGTTTTTAGATTCTAAACGAAGTGACTACGAATACACGAATATTCATAAGTTGTACTTATTGCCATTAAAAAAAATCGTAGGTCACATTTTAGATTCTGAGCGGAGCGATGAATGTATTGGTTTTAGTGGGTTTTACTATGATGTATGTTTTTTTTTTAATTAATTTTTTTTTTTTTTTTGTGTCTGTCATCACGTTTTAGGACAGTAAAAATGCTTAGATTTTCTTAAATAGTACCTTTTCTGATAGGAAAGTGAATCTATATAGTACTTTGGGGGATCGAAAGTAAAAATTTTTCAGTAGTTTTCAAAATTTTCGTGAAAAACCAATGAAAAATTAAGGAAAAAACGGGAATTTTTACGCAACACCGATTTTTAACAAAATCGATTATGGTTTTTGGTGTAACTCTAAAACAAATGACTGTAGTTACATGAAATTTTGACTAAATGTTTATATAAGCAGTTTATATACTCCATAATAATTTCAAAATATTTTGACTTATTTTAAGCTGTTGACAGACATTTTCAGTTTTCAATTTTTTTAGTTTTTTTTTTATAAATGTCAATACAATTTTATTTGGTGGTCCAAAAAGTCTAAAAATTTAATACAAGGTTCCTGATATATTGATAGAATAGTAGTTGAAAAATATTGAAAATACACAGCCACGATTTTTTTTAATAAGCATTTAAATTTCAAATTTTGACAAAATTTATCAAAATCTCGAGAATTATCAATCATTGCAATTAAAAAATTATAAAATGTTCGGTTTTTATAACTAAGGGTTGAAAATTTAAAACAATGATCCTCTTAAATAATTCATACTGTAACCGAAAAATCTAAAAAATGTATAGGTTAATTTTTTTTGTTCATATACCTAGACTGACATACCGCCTCCACTCAGAATCGTTTTTCGTATACAATGATATTATATCATTGGATTCAAATTTAATACCACCCATCATTAGTGACCTACTTGTAACCTATTGTACAACAGAGTCGTTTTTATCGCAATAAAAAAAAAAATAAAAAATGATGAGTCAAATTTTGTTTATAAGCATAAAATGTCCATTACACACATTTTTTTTTATGTAATAAACGTAAAAGTATTTTACCAATTAATTTTGAATATTTAACGCCATGCATTTCGAAACTCTTGGTAAAACCTTCGGCTACTCCGTCCGCTTCAATACTTGTAGCACCGTGTTTCCAATTCAGGAAGCATGTGTGTATCGGTTTTTCAATATTTTTATTAGAAGCACGCTCACAAATTACGCAATATCGATTTCTGATTCCGACAAAAAGTATTTTTTTTGTTTTGTATCCAATAATACTTGCCTAAAATCACGTAAAAATTAATTAAGATTAGTTATAGATTTTTCTATTAATTTAATTAATAGTTATTTGAATTTGTACGTTTTTAAATTGTTTAAAATACTTACTACTCCGGAAAAAGCATCGTATTTTGTTTTATAGCTCCTCTTGGACCACTGAGCGTCCGCAACAACTGTAATAAGTGGTATACCATTATTATCAACGGAACCAGATTCTATAGCATATTTTCTTTCTTCATCTCCTGCCGCTTTCATTTCTGACCAAGCCGTGCCTTTTATATCATCTTGGAGAACTGACTGAAATGAATGGTACATTTTTGCAGACATGTATGGTATTTCTAAACCAGCAGAAAATTCGGCTAGTTGGGTATAGCCAATTCCTACAATAAATTACTATTTAATTAAAACAAAATCGCAAAGCATTACATTTAAATCAACATTTTAATTACCAATTGCAATAGTGCTATTTACAATAGCTTTATTTATTGACCATTGATTTTGAAGATTTTCATCAAATTTTGAAGAATATATATTTTTTTGAATATTGCACATTTTACATTTGAATAAAAATTGTGAATAGTAACCTCTCCTAAATTCCGATATATATTCCATGTTCATAAAATTACATCCAAACATTCCTTCGTGAGTACAATCAAGTATTTGACTAAAAACATATCCGATGTCTACAATCCTACACCCATTTATTTCACCTGTTCTTTCACTAGATAAATATATAGGCGATTAATTTTAATTTTAATTCATAAAACATTACGGATGGTAACAAAATTCTTACATGAGGCTTTTTTCTACCTCTAAGACTGAACTGACAGTCAGTTCGTGAGAGTCTATAAATTCGTCCTGGATTTTAGCACATCTATACATAATGAAAATATTGTCTACACTACAATTCATTTAAAATACATAAAAAAACTACAATATGATTTAATATAAATTTTACTCGAAAGGTGAATTTATTTCAGTAGCCGTAAGTTTAACAGCTAATTCGGCTTCATCAAATTAGTTTTGTACTTGCAATTTCAATTTTGGTGTACTTGTCTCTGCAGCTGTAAATTCTACACAACTCGCTATTTGTGGTGAATTAATGCAAAAATCACTGTAGCAACACCACCATAATATTAATAAAAATTTAAATAAACTGCTACCTAGTTGTCTCTTTACAAATAACAAAAATATGTTTTAGTTTTGAAACTTTAATTAAAATAAATAGTACCTACTATAATTTATAAATTATAATACTATATCAGAATTTCATTTCAAAATATTAAAATATTGAACTTACCTTTCATTGTCATTATTTTTACGATTTACCAGAATACGAGTTAAACGTTTTTTGGTAACACGTTTAACATAATTTTTTTTGTTTCCCATGCTAATATTTCGTTATTACAAAATAGTAGATAGGTAGTCGGTAAAATAAAATATTTCGTGTACAAATTAACAAATTAAAGTCGTGAATACAAGTTCACGTGTCTTCAATGACCACGGTCCACGAGCAAATAATTTGTTATAAGTTTATAACTTATAATTCAATAATATACTATACATTTTATAGTATACAATATGTCAATATACCCACAAATAATCAATGATATTATTATATCTACAATGGTTTCGTAGTAAAATATTAAAAATAATTATTATTATTGCTATGTTGCCTTTATCTATAATTGCAATATTATTTATACTTTGTCGCTGGCGGTGAGTACTTCTCAAAAACCAGTTATAAACTTGGAGGCGGTAGTTTTTGCGGGTAGGGGGTAACGAACGTTATCGAATGCTGCCGTAATAGAAACAAAGCAGCACTAGTCGGCCGTGAATTGTCCTTTTACGGCATAAACTTGGAACGTTTACGGCACACTTAGATTTTAAATCAACCACTCTGCAATGGATTTAGAACAAAAACACCTATTACCGAAATGAAAGCTTACAATATTTACGAGGGCATCTCATGGGGCATTTTCATTATGTTAATTACACTGTTTGATATTACATTTATAAAAAACGTTTATTTTTAATTTTTTAACGACTGTATCTTTTTTTAAACTAAATATTTTATAAAACCCCGATGAGATGCCCTCCAAAATATTGTTTTATTCTATTTTTATAATAGGTGTCTTAGCTCTAAAACCACTCAGGAACAAGTAATTTTGAATCTACGCAAGCGTGTTTTTAATACCGAAAAATGACGGTGCGACGCCCTCTTAAATGAGCTTTATATTCGAACCTATCTTTAACACAGACAATAAGAATATCACAGACTTCTTTTGCAACACAAATTCTAGAAAGTAGTGTATCATCATCACGTTTTCTTTTTTGTCTACATTGAGTTACTTCACCTGGCATTTCATTTTGAAAATTATCGAAATTTCGTCTTTCTTTTTGAATATTTTCTTCAAATCGAGAAATGGCATTTTTCACTTCGGTAGAGTCAATTTTCCGTTTTTGCAACTGGTTATATAATATATCTACATGTGGCATTAAAAAATGAAAAACATTTAACCAAAATATAAATTTTTCATCATTTAACATTCTACGTATAGCGCACGCCTGATTAATTGCAATATTTTGATTAAATGTATTTTCGATCTCTTCCATACATTCTATTAATAACTCACGATTTTCGTGTACAGTATTAACAATACGGCTTTTGAAGTTCCATCTTGTATTTGATGATCGAGGGTTAACAACTTTATCCAAAACGGCAACTCTTTGCGGAGAATTAGAAAAAAAATTAGTTACATCAGTCAAGTTGGAAAAAAAAATTCTTACATCACGGTTGTGCATTGTAGCTTGACTTAAGATTAAATTTAACTGGTGGGCATAACAATGAACAAAATGTGCATTTTTATATTCATCTTTTATGAGTTTTTGAACGCCGGAAAGTCGACCACTCATCACAGCAGCTCCGTCATAACTTTGCGATATTAATTTGTCGTGGTTTTCTGTTACTTCTTTTAAGTTATATTTTATACACTCTGATAGTGACTTTGCATCATGTCCAGATGGATTAAAAAAGCCCCAAAATCTCTCAACTGGCGTACCATTGGATAAAATATAACGAAATATTATGGACATTTGAAATTGTGCTGATACATCTATCGTTTCGTTAGATATAACAGAAAAGAAATCAGCGTTTTTTATTTCGTTTTTAATATTTTGTCGAATAACAAATAGCTTACATTCCAACATTTCATTTTGAATTATTTTAGAAAGGCCTTTAAATACTGTAGACTGTTCGAGGTGTAATTTTAAAGTGTTATCCAATTCAGAACTAAAATTAATAAGTCCGCGAAATATTCCTGGATTTTCAGAATCTGACTTCTCATTATGCCCTCGAAGAGCAAGTTCAAATGCACCACAAAATTTAATACAATCAATAATTTTAGATAAAATATAACGGTTGTTAGTTACAGTTTCATCATGTTTTTGTATACTAAGCCTAAATGCATTTGAAAGTTGTTGCCTTATATCTTGTTTACCCAAAAGTTTCAAATTTAAATGAGCATTTAAATGTAAAGTTGATTTTATGTGTGTACTCATTTTATTGTTCAAATGAGCTAAATCATTTATTCCGTTTTGTGACCAATTTTTATCACCAGAAGTACGACAAAAAAGTATACAAGGAAAACAAAACAAACGGTTCGTTTTAGAACAACCACATAACCAATCATGTTTTGAATAAATGTCTTTATTAAAACTTCTTTTAAATTCTCTAGACTTTGTTTTCTTAATTTGTATTATATTTAAATTTGGCATTGGCCTACCTTCTTTTTTTATTTCAATCTTTTTCTCAAGAGGTAAACTTGAAAAGTGGATATTCAATAAATGCTCGACCGTAACATATGTATCCATGATGACAAATAATAAAAATATTTAATTAATTAGGTATTAATCACAATACACTATGCACCATACACTAAATAGTAAAAATACTTATTTTATAATATTATAGAAAAATGCACCGATAAGGCGATAAATGACAGTACAAAAGTACTAAACGTTTAATAAAATAAACAAAACACACTTAACAGAATTATTAGAATGAACAAATAATAATTAATTGTTATCTTATCATGTTTTCAAAACCGGCGACGGTCGACAATAACAATACGAAGGCAATAGAACCGATAAAATATTATAAATCGTAATAAAAATAGAATTCGGGCACAATCGGATTGTGCCCGGCAATGCTGTATTAATTCGTGTCGAAAAGTGAGGGAAATTTAGTACTGTTGATCGGATTATCCGGGCACAACGAAGTTGTGCCCGCCGCCCAATGCGTATATATAGTATACACGTACCGTATCTAGGAGCACCCGTATTTGATAAAACATTGTTTTCGATAATATTCAAACTACCAAGTACCAACTTATATCATGATGGAAGAAATACTTATTCAATATTAATTTTAATAATTGAATATACATTTTTCTTCTTTCTTCTCAATTTTTTAGGTGGGGCACGTGCCCGTGTACCCTATAAGCACGAGTCGCCACTGTTTGAATCTATACAAATTTGAATTTGTTTTAAACGACAAAGATGAATAATACTTAATGCTAAAGTATTATTATTCAATTTTAATGTGATTGAAGAGTATTTTGCATTTATTGAATAACATAAATTGTCATTTCATTGAATTAAAGACTTGTGCCGTGCTTGTACATTTTTTAAAATCAAATTAAAATTAGACTCACGCATTAAATCATTCCAATTTATCAAATCCAGAGTTAAAAAATTTCTGTTTGATTCTAATAATACAGCAATTGAAATTTCTTTTCCAATTAAATATCTAACTGAACCATACTTTTTATTATAAATTTCAAATTTTGATTTAGCAACTATTGGAACTGGAACTAGTGAAGACATGTTTGATTAAACGCATTAAAAAAAAAAAAAAAATTATAAATATTGTAAAAACGTAACGGAACTCTTCTGATTCTGGTAGATGTACGTCTTTTTATTGTATGACTTTTTTCTAAAATACGTTTAATTAATTTTAAAATTTTAATATAGTTAACACAGTCTAAATCTTTTGATGTTGAACACATAAGTAATGTGAATAAAACAATTTTTTTTTTATTTATATACCAACAAAAATAAAAGTGAACATTGTGTTCTAATGGTTTAAGACGTTTTATTTAAACACTTACCTACATTAAGAATTATATCCCTACCTATTAAATTATTATTTAAACCTAACATATTTATCTTTGAAAGTGACGCCTTATACCTTTAGAACACAGTGTTCACAAATAAATTGAAATGAATTAAAGCATTTAAGTAGTAATAATTATTATTTTTACATATATTTTCAATACATACAATTTTTTTTATTTATCAACTTCATCATAACAATTATGCATGTTACAACAGTTAGAATTTAAACCCTTTTATTTAAATGAACTTGTAACTTCGTTTATAAAATTTATACCTTTACTTAATAATAAGAATATACATTTGTTTGAAAATTTTGAATGCTCACGATACAGACAATCTCCATTAACCCAATTACTTAATATTAAGCTGCAATAGAAACATTGAACTGAATCTCTGTTTTTACTGAAAAATCCTGCCTCAGATAATTTTAATTTATCAGGTAAAGCCGATGGTTCTTGAGTGATTGAAACCATTTGTAAATGTTGCATACTCTGGATGTTGAGAACTTGGATAGTTTTTAACTGCGTTTAATAAATTATTAAAATCACTTGTATAGTTAACGTGATACATTACAATAAAACGATCGATTTACTCTGAGAAATGACAAACTTATACGAATACAGACAAGTTATCGAAACACTAGTTTATAGCGAACTGACTCTAATATAAAAAAATATTTGTTATAAATGAATAATATATGAAAAAATGAAAATAAAACAGTGCTACACTATGATATATAAAATATTTTCCTACAATAGACTTTTAGTATAATCGTAAAATATCATTTGTGATCATGTTCCACAAAAACGATCGGTTATGGGTACGATGAGTCTAGCGTGCAGATGGAAAAGTTCCAGTGACTCTTTAGAGTTCGACGTCGCGAGTATATCAGCCTACTATTAGGTGTCCGACGTGTGCCGTTATAACAACTCTTGTCGAATCTGAATCCGATTATTCGGTGGTTGTGACGTTCGTGGATTATTTTACAGTCTATTCAAATGTTAAATCGAAATGTGTAAAAATAAATGTGAAAATTATTTTAGTCAAACAAAAAAAATGTGAAAAAAATATTTAATGTACATTTTTATACGGTAACTAAAAATATTTTACCGTGTGTCTGTCGATCATATATTTTGAATCTCTTTGTAAAAAATGGAGCCAGAACATACATAGGTTTTTGAAAAAATCGTGAGCACGGTAACTAAAAAAAGTTTACCGTGGGACTGTCGGTCAAATATTTTGAATCTCCCTGTAAAAAATGGAGCCAGAACATACAAATACATACTACTGTCATGCCTGAAACGCGCAAACCTAGTAACGGAATCCGATAATAGACAAGATTCATTTCATCACCAACATCATGGCCGGGAGACAGCTGATGTCGGCGGAAGAAGTCGAGAGGGTGACGGTGGCGGCACTAAAAACCGACCCAAGGCTGTGGGTGGCCTACAAAAGGGGGAAGGCGGACAAGGCGGAAGAAATTCGACGGTTCTTGACACCAACACCGGTGAATCACCGTCCTCGGACCGCCGCAAGCTAGTGGAGGCGCAGAAGAGGTCCCAAACCAAGCGAGCCGGCCCCAGCTAATAGTACCGGCTACAAAAGCCGGCACGCGGCTCGGATTGCCAAAGCACCTCGGAGGGGCCCCTCGTCGGTGAGATGTCGGAGCCAGCAACACCCGGGTCGGAAACACCTGCGAGGGCAGACCAACCGGAGGTTGCGAGCAACTCGGCCGGCGCTCAGTAGTCGATGGAAGTCGACGATCGGGTGCTGGAAGATCCCGAGCCGTCTCTTCCGATCGAGGAGGACTTTCCGTCCTTCTACACTTGCTCACCCCCCACCTCACCAAGGGAGGACTAGGTAGCACTGTTGTGTCACGACCGACCCCCAGGGGTCCGGAAAAGCGACCACGGTCACGACCTTCCCCCTAAACAGCAAACACCAGCAGGACCAGTCTGTCTACCGAGCCGACCACACAATTCCGGATCTCATAACAGACGGACCGCACAAAAGAACCACAATATCGAACACGGGTGGATAGCTTACCATGCTGGAGCAATACCGCGACTGGCGGTTTGAGGGGGAGTATGACGCGGACCCGTGCGGCAGCCGTTATCGAAACGTCTGTCGTCGACCGTGCCTATGTCTCTCTCATCAACCACCAGCCCGTGGCACGCAACGCCGCTGCGACACCCCGTCTCCACCATCCATCAATGGACAGGGGACGCGAACGGTCGCGACGTCACCCGCACGGAATACTATTCAACCGGTCCGGTCGGGTTGTTCTTTGAACACCGTGCTCTTGAACGGACCTATACGTCGACACGTTCTCACGTTTTTACACTTTGTGAATTTCATTCAACTTTGTTTTTCTTTGTTACTTAGTTTTTTTTTTTTTGACGTTTTGTTAATTTCGGCGCGTCCTGTACCGCCGCTCCTTTATTACTTCACCACCGATTATTATTTTGTTAGTATTTGTGCAAGTAATATAAGGCCACTGGCCAATACCGCCTTCATCGTTGTTTTTTTTTTTTTTTTGGTGTTTCGATTCACTACCATCTACATCGAGTGTCGTACCGTACATCAACGGACCACGACATGCTAACTTGATCTACTTTGGTAATGTCCTATCTAGAATCCATAATTATTGAAAATCCAAAACTGCAATTTGATATTTCGTTGCAAATAATTTGTCTTACATTTGAAGCTAGAATTTCTATTAATTCGTTTTAAATAGTAGGGCTTAAATATTTAATTTAAAATTTTTTTTCATTGTCAAATACTGATTTTAAAATAGGATCAAATTTAGCCACTAATTTTATAGTTCTAAGAAAATTTCCTTCAGAATATTGTTTTCCTTCATTGCCTCTTAGAGCAGTATTTCCTGAAGTTAAAGTCAATATTATTTTAACCATGCGCGTCAATATATCTCTCCAAAATTTCGCTTCTTTTGATATTTGTGTTTCAAATTCTTTGTCGATAGTTAAATTTTTTGTCCTCGTTGATCTAACTTTCATAGCATTCAAATGTAACAGTGAAAATTCATGAACATTTATTTTCTGAGAGAGATGTTGACAGTCATTACCCATTTTTTTTTTAAGATTACAATTATTTTTATCAGAAAAAACCAGCAAGTTTCACAGTAAACCATATCCCAAATTACGGAATAACAAAGCCACGGTCTAGAAATAAGTGTACCATTTTTTAACTTCACGTAGTAATATATTTTTGAAAATTTTCTTTTCGAATAAAGAGGAAAATCTATTTCTGGCTTACAAGGCCATACTTCAGAATTTCACGTTTTAATTTATCGCTTACACAATTTAGTTAGGCGCCGCGTAGGGTCTATCGACCCTACACGTTATTTTTCACTATATTTTATATTATTTTTTTATAGGTTTGCCTACAAATGTTTTCAAATTTTAAAAAAAAATAAGCCATTTATCAATTTTTAGCATATATAAACATTTAATTAACTTTTTGATCTTTATTATATACAAATTATAAATACATGAAGGGTCCTAAAACCCTACGTGACGTTAACGACAAGTTTAGGGTCAATAGACCCTACATTTTATTTTTATTGATATATTACAATATGAAAAATACAATTTTTAACTTTGATAAATTATACACGTTATTATATGTAAAAAAAAATTATGAATTTATTATGTTAATATTATTTTTATAATAGTTTACTAATCGTTATAATGTATTATTATGATTTTTTATAAAACAATCCTTACACATTTGTAATTTGTAACCATCACATTGAGTGAAAAAATTTTTTGTTTTATTCTGAGCTTTAGATCTACCAACATTTTTCGATAACCGTGCGTAACATGGGTTGCACATTTTTTTTTTTTTTTGTTTTATTTGAACCAATATATGGTTTAACTCTGGTGAAATCGACTGAGGTACCGTTGGTTTTATTAAAAGTTGCTTGATAATTTCTTCTTTGAATGTTGTTATAGTAATAGATTCATTTTTTTTTAACTGATTTGAATAATGATAATGCGTTAACTGTTGACGTAGTTAAAAGTATGTCAAAAGTCACTTTTTTGTACCATTTGATAGTCTTCTTTAGTGGAGTATTGTATGACATAATTTGGTCAGAACGATCTATGAATGATTTGCCTGTATTGTAATCTTGAACGACAAGTGGTTTTTTTTTTACAATATTCCTTTTCCGTATTTCAATCATTTCATCTATATGTTTTGTAGTGATTTGTAAAATATCACGTTTGTCTCGCTACTTAAGCACAACCACATTGCTATTACTTTGTGAAGCAATTACTTCTCCTTTTTTTAATTTTTTTTTAATAACGTTTTCTGGATTATTTTTAAGGTTAGCTCTCAGCGTTCCTACCAAATGTGTTTTTTCTCTATTTAGTTTTTCAGCTAGCTTAACGCTTGTGTACCAATTATCGACGTATAAAGTACATCCAAAATTAAGATAAGGCTCCATAAGTTTTAAAACAGTATTGTAGGATATGTTAGTTTGACGCACATCTTCTTTCCCAGCATACACGTTATACTGCAAAATGTAATAATCTTTTGCACAGAGTTTAAATATTTTAATGCCATAGCGATGTGATTTGTTCTTGATGTATTGACGAAATACTAAACGTCCAATGAAAGGTACAACGCTTTCATCAATACACACTTTATCTTCTGGTATATACTATTTGTTAAAATTGGTGACTAACATGTCAATTAGACTTTGAATTTTGTTTAGTCTACCATGCATATTAATATCATCATTTCCACAATGAAACATAGATAAAATTATCTCAAATTTATTACGGCTCATTACTTCTGGAATTCTTGTATGCTATAGAAAATCTTTTCTCCAATAATCTTTTATATTTGGCATTTTTACTAATCCCATCCATAAAACAAGTCCCAAGAAGTTCCTCATATCAATTCAGTCAATATCAGTCCATTGTCGTTATCGAGAACACCGCGAAATTGTACGTTGATCAAGTGTTTTATGGGCATAACGATTTGTTTCCGAAATTAAAAAATCTAATACATTTTCATCAAAGAAAAAATTATAAAAATGAATTGGTACACATTCTTCCATAGACCAAATTATGTCTGGGTTAATGCCTTCATCTATATTATCGGGATTTTAAATTATTGTATTCAAATTACTAATAAACTTGATCCCCAAGTTGTTTGATCGCAATAATACAACTTAATACTATAGGTATCTTTGTTGGTAATGTAAAATATATTATGTTCAAAGCGGATAATAAGAGCTATTGTTGCCGCCGTAACATAGCAGCCAATCGACACACACACACGCACACACACATAGAACAATCGCGCATGGGCCGTTATTTTTACCTTTATCTTTATGTCAATTATATTTTGTGTATTGTGAATTATATAATATGTAAAACAAGTATCGGCGCGTTATCTGCCGCCACCGGCGAGTGACTCCGCGCGTAATTTAACACGGCCGCCGCAATTTTTGTCTTCTACCGTACGTCGTCGTGAGAAGTCAAAAGGCCGTTAAAATAATATTTAATTTATAAGCACGAATTGCTGTTCTTTTTTGTTTTTTTCTTTTTTTATATTTTATACATTTATATTATTGCGTGGGTGCAAATCGCCATATTTACTCTTTATTGTTATTATATATATTCATTGTTACAAATTATTTATATTAGCTTTAATTTATACCTTTGTGATTTTATTTATTATGTGAATTTTATATAGGTTTATTATAGGCATAGGTAGCGGCTGGCCAGCAGTTCACCGACAAAGCCCTGAGTTATATTACATTTTTACACATATTTTATATATTATACATTTTACTTGTAAGGTCAAAAGGGCTGTATATTTATTATTTTGTTGTGCCAGAAGGGCTGCGTAGCATTATTATTATTATTCTATTTGGTTATAAGGACCGCATACTTGTTTGGACGCGAAATTCGGTTCAATGAATACGATTGATAACTCGACGTTTTTTTTGGGCTGGGTGCTATGCAATTAATTTTAAATTCATAAAAACATGTAATAGTGGACTGTAAGATTTATTGATATATACTATCGTCAAATAAATTTTGTACAAGAGAATAACTTAACATATGTTAGTCCTAACAAAATACAATTAATACTGTAAACAATATTACTAGTAAACAAATTAATGAATAATACTGATAAAAACAGTGACAACAATATTTCTGATGTCTGATCTGGTAATATCGTGGGAGTGGATTGTTATTGACATCAATGTGAACCATTTGACTATCTTCACTCTGGCCGGGGTCGATCTATCTGCACCAGGCTGCCCTGCATCCGACTGACACTCGAATAATAAATTATGCCACTACTCGTACACAGTGCTGATAGCAATAAACACTCAGAAAAAAAGTGACTTAAGTGACAAAAATCTTAGGAAAAGTAAAAAAAGTGACTTGAAATAAGATGCCTTATTATCATAATTTACCTTCTTAAAATATAAACTTCTACTAGAGTTCAATATTAAATCAAAATTTGACAAATAATTAATGTTGCAATCAAATTACATTTTATTTTAACAAATGTAATAATAACATAAATAATATTCCTTTTTAACAAATGTAATAATAACATAAATAACATTCCTTTTTAACAAATTTAGTAATAACATAATAACATAAATTACATTTCTTTTTAATTAATTTATTATATAAATTAACAACAAATTATTGGTAAAAACCTTAACCCTTATTAAAATAATAACAAACTATCTAATCCTTATATAGTATAGAAGGTAACACAATTGAATTATTTTTGGTATAATAATTAATAGTATTGTAATTAATTAAATTAAAAAATTAACAATGTCTGAATGAACATAAAAGTCTTAAAATACTAATTATCCTATTACTAAATATTTGTAAAATTAGATCTCTAAAGCAGTCTTTTATTTTTTTTTCATTTTTATTGGACAAACTATCTATGAGCTTTATTTTCTTTTTTTCCAATATATTTTGAAGAGTATCTGCTTCTTTTTTCTTGATTTCTTCTTCTTTGCGAATTGTGTTTACACCGTCAAGCATAGCTTGAGCAATTTCAACTTCTACAATATTGTTATTCGATACAGCTGTTTTTAAGCGTTTATTGGCTTCAAAAAACAATTTGTCTGCTGCATGGCGTTTCCTGTTTTCTTCATATCTTAAATTTTTCAGTGACTTTTCTTTTTCTATTATATTATTTTTATCTTCTTTTAATTGTTTTTGTTGTTCTTCAAACAGTATTTTTTTGGCCAATTCTTCTTTGGTTTTTTTATTTTGTTCTTGAATTTTTTTCTTGTCTTCCAAATAATCTTTATAATGTAAATATGCTCCTCTAGCCATATTTATAAGTTCTTTAGTAATTTATACTAAATGTAATTTGTTATTGTAATGTTTAAGAGCATCTTTACTATAAAGAATCGCATTCAGTGTCCTTTCGCACATTGATGCTCGATCTTCTGTTAAAATCCTACCCGAACAAGAAAAGCTTCGTTCTATGTCAGCGCTTCCATGGACTAGAGATAAACAAGCCTTGACAATTTTTGACACATTTGGATATTTCTCACCTCCTGATAAATTTGTTTTGGTAAAAAATTGTTTCCAATAATGATCTATTCTCAATTCAGCAGATTTTTCATCGTCTTTTTCCAGTTTTAATAGCGTCCACTCGTTTATTAAAACATCTGTATCAACATGGAAAGGCAAATATTTACAAATTTTTAACAATTGGCTAATACTTCTATTCTCAAATCTTTCTGTGGGACCTAGACAACGCAAATTTTTTAGAAAAGAATTTGTAATTGATGACTTTAACAAAATGTTCTTACACGCTGCTAAATAGTGTTGTTGTGCGTTTTTCAAAAATATTAATATATCTTTTTCTCTTGTTTTTAAAATTTTAAATTCTTCTTGAATTTTTTCACTGACAACCACATTTTTTACTTGTACAAGATTTTCAATTTTAAACAACTCATCAACGTTTACATTTGAAAAAGACTTAGGAATTTTATCTGGTTTACAAATTTTACTCATCAATATGTACAATAATTGGTACAATTCACTACATAATATGCACAAGAGGCTCTTCTTTCTGCATATTTCCAGTGTAATTTGTGAATATTTAAGAACTACTTTGTAAAAACAATACTTCACATTTCATATTTGGTGTAATAAGAGCTTCTCTTATTTTTTTTATAACTATTTGTTGATAATAGGGACGATTTTTCTTTTGGTATAAAATCCAAAAAATATTTTTCAACTGCTGTCCAATTTTCAATAAGTCTTTTGGAAGAATTATAGATTGTTAACCATCTTGAGGGTACATGCTTTATGAAATGAAGTATTGGTAGATCTAATTCTTCTAAAATATGTGTAAACTCCTCCCATCTGGTTGGCCATCCATTAAAATAATAGTAAATAGCAACAATTAACTGAGATGCATCTTCACCAAATTTACCTACACCTTTAAGAAATCCATTATGAATTATATGTATATTGCAAGTGCCTATATCAATTAATTTAATATTTCTACAGGTCACTACTTCTTCATTCATTAAGCGTGCCACTTTTTTATTAACATTCGGGCCGTCGGATCCTAACATCAACATTTTACTCAATGGTAAATTAGCATGATCTAAAGCTTGAATTATTTTTTCAAATAATATCTCAGCAGTTGCTTTACCAATAAAATAGGTGACTAAATGTTGAGATAAAACCATATTTTTTGAACTAGAATAGTACCGAATTAAAATCTGTAACTATTTGTTTCCACTTGAGTTAGTGATTTCATCATATATGATACTATAATATTCATTTGTTACATCTTTATATAATTGTTGCTGAAAGTAAGGCCCAATGGCATCAGTTATTAAGTACTTCATTTTTGAACGACTCATGGAAAATCCTTTAGGCAAAGCATTAGAAAACATACATTGGAATAAGTCAGTGATACCATCACTTGCAGAAAATGAAAAATTACTAACAATACATTTAAATGCCCATATAACTTCAGAAATAACACTTTTGTCACAAACACTATACAAATGTATACCCGAGTTATCATTTTCTTTTAACTCACTGGATTGTACAGTTGTAGAAGTTGCTGCTAGTCGTAACTGTTTAGTATTCAATTTAATTTTAACAGCATTACTATGCTTAACAGAACCTGCATGTTGTGTTAAAGCCTGGAAACCTTTATTAGAAATACTGATTGATGTTTGGCAAACAATACAAAAAACCTGCTTGTCTGAATGTTTTCTTGCCCACTCGGAAATTGTATTACAATTGTTATGCCCGTCACTTTTCAAAAACCAATCATCGCGCACAGAACATTTGCCCATCGTAAAATATATAGTAAATATTACTAGTAAAAACTTATAACTATAAAATAAATTCCTACTTAAACAATAGACATTAATAACAAATAACCAAATAAATAATATTTGATATTTGAATATTATAACGAAAAAAATAGTTGTACCGTGTATGATTGAAGTTAATCAGAGTTTAATCGGCCGAATTTTCCCGTTTAAATATCTATTATCAGCCGATTAAGCTTAATCATAGTTTAATCATAGACGGTACAACTAGCCCTAAGAACATTACAGGCTACAGCAGTAGTACCAACACGAATTGTTCAAACACCGCGCAATTTGAATTTCGCGCCATAGCATGTTACATGAACGAGAACTTTCGCGAAGCTTCTACGCGCTCCCTCCCCTCTACATCTTAACGTCCGTCGTAGTAACGGCCAACGGGTTTTTCAAATGGTTCGTTGTTGTTGGTGTGCCCGCAAGCGGTACAGTTCGCCGGGCACGTTTATTCCTTTTTTTTTTCGTGTTCGTGCGCGTCTCGATTTGTGGATCGCCGTGACGGGCATCTTTTCACGCCACGTATTTTGTGCGCGAGTGCA